AGGCAATGGACTAAAATGGAATATTTTCTGAGGAAAATGCAAAGTAATTCCAAAAATATTATTATCAGTTAAACCCACCAGATAATAATTGTTGACTAAATAATTTTTTATATAAACTCCCTAATCCATAGAATGAATTATGTTTAAAAAGAGTATCCAAAATTCCTAGGTTTAATATGAAAATTAGATACTTTGGGATTCAAAATCAGCTTTGTTCTCAGACTTGTTGCTGATCACTATATCTCGATTAAAGCCAAAAACTAGGTAAAATAAAAAACCAAATAAACAATACTGCTTATGGCAAAAAATGCTGTGATAAAATTTTACAAGAAAATTGGAAGGTTGAATGCAATCCACGTAAACAAAGAAAATTGCAGAGGAAAAAGAAATTTAAGTGGAAGCCATGGAAGAAAAAAAAAAGTTTGCTAAACATAAGAAATTTATTTTTAAAAAAAAACAAATGAAAAATATCCAAATTTTAAGAAAAAATGTTACAAATGTTATATTTGCAATGAAAAAGGTCATATAGCACCCAATTGCCCCAAAAAATGACAAAGTGCAAAAAAAATGATTAAAATGTTTGAGGTACAAGAATTAGAAGTTCTGTATGGAGAAGAAATTTTTGATATAGAAGATACTTTGTATGTAATAGAAAGTGAAGAAGAAAATAGTGATGAAGATTTAGACCAAATCTCTATGCTACAAGAGGAACATACATTAGAAATAAATTCAGTCGGGCTAGGAAATGTAGTTGGTGAGAAAATCATCTTTACTGAGGAATAATTGAAAAAATTGAGAAAAATCAAGGAAGATAAAATATATAAAATTTCTAGGTTCAACCCATTCTTAGCCAGAGTATTTGAACAATTTAGTAGAAACACAATTTTTAAATGTTCTGCAAAAGGCACTACAGAATTAACACTTTTTTGATAAAAAAGAGATTGCTAGATGAAAAAAATAATTTTCAGATATAAGATATATCCATATAGGGATGACACAAATAACTATTATCGTCTATTTAAACAAGGAATAGACACCCCTATCCTGACTGTAATGTTTGGCAAATGTTTTAATAATCCATTAAAAACAATAATATGCAGAATTTAATCGAATTTTGTCTCAAGAGTAGTTTGGTTTAACATGAAATCCAACTATTTTGTTTCAATTGATGGTCCAAATCTCGAAGATTCAGTAAGGATTATAACTCTTACCCAAAACATGAAAATGAAATATAATTCTTATGATATGGCAATTCATTGGAAAACCGTCCATGAATTAACAAAGTTGCCACAAACGTTTAGAAAGAATCTAAAAAAAGAAATTGATGAAATTTTTGAACCAAAAGTATTTGACACTGCAATAAAACCTCAATTAATTAATTGAAAATATTCAGAAATTTCAAGACAATGGATGATAAATAATTTAACTGAAAGAACAATCAATATGGATAATAGATCCTATTGAGATGCAAGTCTCTAGTAAACATATGTATTTTAGAGATACACGATATCAAAGTATAAAATTAATAAAAATATGTCCAAATTGGGTTCATAAAGATGATTGGAAAAAATTCCGACAACTTGCTCTTAATGAATCTTATAAAGAAGAGTCTAAATAAACATGAAACTCTGACCCCATTGCTTACAAATCTGTACAAATTCCTGTACTCCCAACAACGTCGTACCTGGAAGGCAAAAAAAAAGAGGAAGAGATAAATTCAGCAAGATTTTATCACTTTCATAGGGGTTGCGAAGAAATCAACTTTTCACCAAGCAATGGAAAGAAAAAATATACTTATATTTTGAGAGAATTTAATTATGCAGGTTATAAGCCATATAGCCTTACCGTATTAATTGATCTAGATGGAATGCACTACCTCCAAAAAAATAGATGAGTATGAAACGCCCTATGGTAGCTAAAGGTATAGATGACAATGAAACATTAATTGGATTTAAAGCTAAAAAACTAGCAATCTGGCTAAATGGAAAACAATTTGTAATTCCAAAAATATTCTATTTTTCGTCAATGCATTGCGACTTTATCCCTGGAAATAATTTCATTGATAATTATTAACGAATGCATATTCATCTAAAATCATATTTCGGTATTTGTCTTAATTATATTGTTTTGTTTGAACAACAAAGATGTCATCAGTACCATAGTATAATCGTGATACCTGATAGTCACCAGGGTAGTCCATACCAGTTTTGTTAATTGTTATGTTCTCTAATTTTTTGATCAAAATTTCAATTTTTTGTTTTGTTTTGTTTTTTGATTTAGATCTAGTTCTACTACTTGACCTATTTTATTTTACCAACACTTCTACTTTTTCTAGATTATGATTTATATGCCCTAAAATTTTTTCTATATAAGTTTGGTTTATTATTTGATTTTCATTTACTTTTTTAAACCAACTTCCTACCATTTCACTGATACTATTTAAACTAGCTCTTATATTACTTAGATTATTATCTAATTTTTTATCGATATGTAAAACATGATTATAATTTTCTTCTAATTTTTCTAAACTTGAAGCTACACATTCAATATGTTGATTATTATTGTTTGCCATTATAGACTATTGATGGCACCTAAAATCTCCTATTATGTTGAAGTTGCCGGTGCCTAAAACCAAATTCCACAAAAGGCCAACTATGACAAAGTCTAGCCTTTAACTGTCAAAGATGAGATATGAGATTACCAACAATAAGAGGTATATGAGTTTTTTAAACAACTAACAATGAAACAAGTAAAATAATCACACATAGAAATCTAAAGGTTCAAATACATGAAAGCTGGACTTTATTATAATGATATTTTACATAAGAATAAAACTTATAGATGATATTGATAGACAAGGAGTAGCCTTGCTCTAATACTAATTACAAAAGAGATGGACTTTCTACAAGACTTGAGACTTTTTTACAAGAGTGGATGATGATTGGGAAAGTTTACAAGGAAAGTTAGGTAGGTAAGTAAGAAGTTATGACATTCAAGATGGCAAAATTTTCACAGGCAAGAAGTATCATTAATCCAAAGACACGTTAGTATTTCAAAAATTTACATGGAAAGATGCCAGTCTTTTTTTTGGTTTCAATTTTTCACCTCCAGCGACAAACGTTTTGCTCATGTGATGCTGGCATTTTCCTTCTCATTTGTTGATATTTGTTCTTTTTTGCTTATTTTCCTTAGGATACCAACATAATGGAGTATTTAATATCCAAAAAGAGTCCTTGAGGTATTAGATGCCAATAGGTGATCAAAGGTTCAGTGATTGTGTGAGCAGCATTAGATTTTATAGGGATTTTTTTGTTTGGGTTTTCTTGGTATGGATTTCACAGGTCTGGATATTGTAACTGTGCTTGTATATTTTTGATTTAGTAGTGTGTTCAAATTTGTGCATAAGGAGTGAATTAGTATCTTATTTTTTTAATCTATTCTTACTCTCTGAGCATAGCATACTCCAAGGCCTCCCTCTTAGAACTCTCTCTGTTTCTGTTGGTGTTAAGTGTTTGAATTTCTTATTGATATCTTTTTCAATTAAGCTATCATAAACAACGGAAGAGGATGCAACGTGCATGTGGAGGTTGATTCATAATGCTGCTCTGTATTCGTCTATTTGGTTTTGTTTTCCATTTTTTTTTTTTTTTGGTTCTCTTCGTAGTTTATGGTTTAGGTTTCATGTTGAACAAAGATGGAGTGTGGAGAAGAAAAGTATGGCCTTTGCATTTGTGGTTTGATAACAAGGTGATCTCATTTAGAGATTTTTACATCATTTTTTGTTTTATGGCTACGTGAGTGACTATCTAACGGTGCTTTGAATTGGGTGATTTGATTTGTGTAAATTATGTGGCCTATTTAAAACTTTAAATCGTCCTCCTCAAAAAATTATTAATAATTTTTTCGATAGTTTCTATTTATTTTGGTTTTTTTTTTTGTTTTTTTTATTGGTTATTTTACAAGGTTTAGCTTTCTAAATGATGAATTTTTTTTGTTTTTTTGTCAAGCACGAGTTCATTGTATCAGCAACTCAACCATCAGCCAATTGATTAAACTTTGTACTTCAATATATCGTTTATATTTTAGAGTTGAACATTATGATTTTCAAGTTTCCATCAAGGAAATTGTGCTCTACACAAAATGAAATATATGGAACATTGACATGTTAAATTAGATATGCATGACATGACTACTTTTCTACTACTCAAGCGTCTTCCTTTTGCATTATATCAGTCCCTGACAAAATAAATCTTGTTTTTGTCGGGTGGATTCATTTTTAATAGTTGAGCAAAAATTATCATTAATGCAGAAGGAAACATTTTTGCCAAAATAACATACTTACAATCAACCTTGAAGAATTTTTCCTATAAGTTTTAGTGCAAGTAGTTTCCACCCATTTTGAAAAGCGAGTGCAAAAGCACAGGGGTTTTGATTGAAGCCACTATTGTGTACGTGTTTTCGTTGAGAGATTATTTCCATTACTTTCCGAATCAAGCTAATTTTCATTCTTAAGTAGTTGATCAAGAGAAAGACAAAGTGGTAATATTTAATTCTTCGTGAATCAACCTAATTTTCATTCCTTCCCAACACACTATTCTTTGACCCTTCAAATAATTGCGAAGCAACGCAAAAATGACGTCTACGAGTCAAAATGTAGAGGTTTGAAAACAAAACCAATGATGAAAACCTAAAGCATATTAGGATTAACACATACCTCTCTGAAAATGTGTTGGACAGTGCTGTTGAGGCGGCCTTTCCAAAATCCCTTCAACCATCCTAATGAACCAATATTTAGCTTTGGCGTGATCAGGAATCCTAAAGAGGTGGTCTGCATCTTGGGACAGTTTACCAATTCTACCTTTTCTAATAATGGTCATTCCAAAGTATCATTTCCCAAGCAGAAACTCTTTGAGGTTTGATAGATGTACAAGTCGAAGAGTGTGTACATTAGGGAACACAACTTTTTTTGTAGTCTTCTCCTTGTTGTAGGACCTCTTCCACTAAATGCATTCTCCTACAACGAGATTTTCCAAATTGTGTAGCATTGAGAGTAATTGGGATGGTACAACTTGTAACGTATTGTTACATTCACGCAAAGATAGAAATCTTAGTTGACCAAAGGACACTATTGGAAGTTCATTTTGCCATATCTTTTTCAAGTTGCTAGTCTTTGAAGATCCAAATGCTTCAAGGCGAGAAGTAAAACCTGTCGATTTACAGTTATACTAGCACATGAATGTTCATAATTAAGACAAATACTATAAGCTTCAAGGAGAAAAAATGAACTAGAACTCCAGTTTTGCTTGATTAATATATAGGATAAGAAAAATCATCAATAGTAATCAAAAACTTTACCAGCTTGAACACTTCATACTTTCAACACTTGTCATGTGAGCCTTTTGCCAGTCATGTGTTGGGTTTGACAAACAGGGAAGTAAAACAAAACAATGATCCAAACAAAAGAAATAATAAATAGATAACTAGCTATTCCTAATACAAAAATTTCCTCCTAAATTGCCATAATTTGTTTTTGCATGCGTTAGTCTCAATTTATATAAAAAATGAAAAAGAGTATATGTCTTCAAGTTTAGGTCCAATCAGGTTCAAAACAATTTCTCACTACATTAATTTGCATTTACTGCAAGTAAGAAGAAGTGAAATGAGTATTTTTCACAGACAGGTGATGAGCGAAGCAGAGAAGAACTAGTGACCACAATTAGTATTGGTTACATGTCATATTTGCAATCCTAAAAAATGATCATCCAATGAAACTAGTAAATCAACATAGGTGTATGATAATTTCTCTACCAAGTTTTCCATTTGTATACTTGCATAGTTTAGAAAAATAACAAAAAAAGAGAGAACACGTACCTTTTCATTGAAAAATGGTTGGATGGTGACACTATAGTTGTCTTCTTGATCCATTTGTCCCTCCAACTCTACTTCGCTTACTTCTTTTGGCCTTTTTGTGCTTGAACCAACAAATATTTGCATGTTGGGACATTTTTTAATCGTCAAATATTTCAAATAGTGGAACTTTAAAGTACAATTCCCTCGGTAGAAGCTTTTGAGTTTGGGCAATTGAACAAGCTCAAGGTTATATAATTTAGGGAACACAATTGCATCAACGACCTCTCCATCTTCCGCTCTTTCGGTTGCAATTATCTCTTTCATCATGTCACATTCTATTATCTCCAGTTTCTGGAGTTGAATAAGAAGTTTCGATGAGGTAAAAGAGAAAAGATATCTCTTACAATTACATCCTCCGATAGTTAGTTCTTTGAGATTTTGGAAGCTAAAAGATTCAAGGGAGATCTTGTTCCACCATATATCCTTCAATCTTGGTAAACTCTTGAGCTCCAAATTCGTTATCCTTGGTAGTGTTATTGAAGTTGCATTATGTCCTTCACATAGTTCCTCCAACAAATCACAATTTGAAATAGATAGGCCTTCTAAATTTTGTATCAAATTGGATGGAAAAACTATGATTAGGTTTTCACAGTTGCTTATTGAAAGTTTTCTCAATCTCTTGAAGTTCTCGGCGGGAAGTAATTGTCCATGCCACAGCTTTTTCATGTTCTTGAGTCCATTAAGATACAACCTTTCCAACGCTGGAAATACAACCTGCACAATTACATCATAGTGTCACTTGAATCTTGAGCAATTAAGATAGATACAATAAATTTCAAGGATAAGAAATGGAATTCAAAACTCATTTTCACTTGATTATTATATAGGATAATAGTATTCATCAACCATAATCAAAAAAATTACCATCTGCCTTGTTAGCATTTTCACAGTTATATGGCGAGCTTGAGTAACAAGGACATACTACCACCCCGTGACCCAAAAAAAAGAAAGAAGAAGTAAAGAAATTGATATTACTAATAAAAATTTTCTATAATAAGAGTTATGAGCACTGGAGAAAAATACTGTAAACTTCAATTCTACAAGAAGTCTTTTTAGTAACATATTTTCCCGGGGGGAAAAGAAAGATAACGAGGAGAAGACATCGAATTTCAGAACTGAGACAAAATTGTTTTCATGGTCACATACCTTTCTGTTGAACAAAGATTCATATGCTTGAACATGAGGATTGCTATCTGAAGCCGAACTATTTGTTTTGCAGCAAAAACTCACGAGGTTCGGTAGATTAGTAAGCCTCAATTCTTCCAACTTGAGTAAGACAATTTCATCCTCTTGTGTCGCTGCTCCTTCTACATGACCTATGGGATCCTCCCAACAATTTATTAACTCAGGTAAGTTGTCAAGCCACAACTCACGTAGTTCAGAAAAGGATGTAGATGGGAGACGGCCATGACATAGCTGCCTCAAGTCTTCCATGTTTTGGAGAACTAATATCTCCACCACAGGAAGAACACGTAGCATCCTCTCCCTAGTGTCAACTAGATATTCAATCTTACCACATTCATTGACCCTCAGAAACTTCAGATTTGAAAATCCATTGATTCTAAAATCATTGAGAATAGTCTCCACATCCTCAAATTCCTCTAGGACCAATGCTTCTGCTCTTTTCAACAACATATTGACCCCATCGCATTCTTGAATAATACTTTGACATCTCGCAAGTTGCAAGACCCCTGAATTATTCTTTACAGCTGACAAAAGAAAACTGCTACCTATAGCAATTTTATATTCGATCAACTGATTCCCTGACAGTAAATCTTTTGGATACATCTCGACATCTGGTACTTCAATTTCTAAGATTCTTAAGTAAGAAAGATGTTTCAACTCGATAAGGCTTGCATTATTTCTTCCCATGTCTTGACCGTCAACACCCCAGTCCTTGAAACTGTTTCTCAGTTACAAGCATTCCAATCTGGTCAAGCTTTCTATGACACCAGCTGGAATTACTTTTAAATATGAACAATTTGTCAACTCTAAGAGCCTTAAACGAATGAGCTGTCCAATTTCCAGCGGTAATTCCACAATATTAGAGTTAAGAAAGCTGAGAATTTCTAGGTCCTTTAACTCTCCAATCACTGATATTTCTATAAACTTGCAATACTCTAAGCGTAATGTTCGAAGTTTCTGCAAACATCTAATAGATGGTAGCATTGATGGAATAGACATGGCAGACATGTATAGAGTTCTCAGGTTTTTCATCCCTTCGAAAAAATCATCTGAAATATTATTGGCTGAAAGACGGCCGTAATTGCACAACACCAAGATCTCAAGTTTTGGATAATCGGAGCTGTCAGGTAATTCCTGAATAGGATTGCCAAATAGTGAGATTGCCGTATAAAGATTGAGTGTCGGCCATTCTACCAACATGGAGTCTGCTCTTACCAAAAAAACATGCTCACCACTGGATGCTACCGATATAGCAAAATCTCTAACAACATCATGCATCCTAACATACTCTACTGATTCCCCATCCAATAACAAACAACTTGCTTTAAGGTTATCAACCATCGCTTTTGCTCTTCCTCTTGCATCCAAAAAACTATCACCATTTCCAAACAACCTTAAACCATCCCAACTCGGGCCAAATCCTCGATCGGAATATTACAGTCTTCCCCATATAGACAACACAATAAGAAAAAATACTTGAGTTGTTCACTTTCCAAAAAGTTATAACTCAACTCTAGCCTTGAGTAAACTTTTTCGTGCACACCTTTGATAGTTTGCGACTCAGAATTCTTTAATTGTTGAAGTGCATCAGTCCACACATCTAAAGTCTTACCCTTCAAAGCTGCTGCAACAGTGGCAATTGCAATTGGTAAGCCCGCGCACTCTTTAGCTATCTCGGACGCTATTGGATGCACATCTTGAGACTCAACAATATCACCTGCCTTTTTCTTGAATAAAGTCCATGCATCTGCCTCAGATAAGACATTGATGGGAAAACTTATCAGAACATTCATCTTTGCGCATACATCTTGATCTCGAGATGTCAACAAAATTTTGCATCCTTCATGAGCATTTTCGTTAGGAATTCCTATGGTCTCCAAATCAAGTGCGGCCCACAAATCATCCAGGATTACGAGTATTTTCCCCACTTTCTTTATTCTCTCGCATAAGCGACCTGCCCTACCAGAATCACTTTCAACATCAAATTTTAATCCCAATTTGTCTGCAATTTCATCTTGAATTTTCCTTGTGTTTGGTGTTTGGGACACCACTGCCATCACTACCTCATCAAAGAGGTTGTATTTCTCAGAAAGCTTTGCAACTTCTTTGATGAGGGTGGTCTTTCCAATCCCCCCCATCCCATTCACTCCAATGATGTTGATCTGATCAGCTTTCAGTGCTTCAATGATCTCCTCAAAAGTTTTTCTTCTGGATTTAAAATTTTCCATCTCTCTGGTAAATATGGACTCAAATCTCGGCGGAGGTGGAGGGTGAGAAACTCTGTCGAACTTGCCTTCGCATTTGAGTTTATCAACAGCCAAACTGTTTTGCTTGGCCTTCTTGCCTAGTTTGTAGCGTGACTTCAAGTCAGGGCACAACCCAATAAAGCACTTATTGTTTTCCACAACTTCATCACGTAAAAACTTGGTGGACTCTTGTGTGATTGTGTGCACGCTTGTAAGCCATTCATTAACTTCTGGTAGGATCACTTGGGAAGCCATAGTCTCCACACTAACCGTTCCTTGGATTCCATCTCGAACGAGCTCTAGATCCCTGACTCGAGTCCTGAGATTGTTGATGTTGCGACGGTAGTGAATTATATAACCAAGTTGACGCCCAATTTGTGCAACCAGGTGGTCTCCAACTCTTGTAGCAATAGAACTAAAAAATTCCCCAGCCACATCCATTCTATTTTTCTTTTTCTTTTTCTTTTACTTTTTGAGTTTTGATTTGTTTTCTTCCCTGAAAAACAGACCAAGAAAATATAGTTAAAACTTAGGGATTATATAACAACGAACAACGATAATAGAACAAATTCAAGGCAAGAGTCTGCACAACGTACCTCTCCAGATGATACTGAGAACAAAGATTTCTAGCAGTGAGTTGCCAACCAGAACAAAAATTTGAGGAGTATGAATTTTGCTACAAGCACAACTAGGTTACTAGAAACACTCCTGAACCCAAAAAAGAGAGAAATTTAGAAGAAGAACAGAGAAGCAAGGGTCAAACTATAATGATTCCACTGATAAATCACTTGGCTACAAGGACCAATCGCACATATGTGGTGTGCTCCATAAAGAGTAAATTACACTTTGTTCCCTAAATTATTACTCTTATTTCACTTTGTATCTTCAATTATAAAATTTATCACATTATACTTTAAAGTATCAATTTTATTTCATAGCACTCTAATAGATAACGACAAACTTAGAAATCTGTCAAATGAGGGAAGAAAATCCCAAAGAGCTTCTTGTTAACCGCCTAGTACCATTTTATTTGAACTCTTTTGCAATTAAATGGTTGTTGGTAGGGATGGTAGTGGACCAAAGCGGAGGCAGTGGATTTAGTCTCCGTTCTCGTACTCGTTTCAAAAATTCCGTCCATTCCCGGTTCATTTCCATTAACGGGTATAGTTTTCATCTCCATCTCCCGTCTACAAGTAAATTTGTATTCCCCACCTTTGCCCCATCCCCTGCCTACATCTTCGCCCCCACCCCCATCCACCTTACTTGTCTAAGCTCAAACCCAAGCCAACATAATATAAAATTTTAAATAATCCAACATAATTATGGAATATCATAACATAATTAAAAGTTTGTCATTTATAATATAATATAATATAATTAAAACTTTGTTTACGACATAATTCAACATAATATAATTAAAAATTATCTCCCTTGTAAATCCAATACAATATCAAGCAATACAACATAATATAATCTAACATAAAAAAATATAAAAACCCAAAAATCTACACTTTTACAAACCAAAACCATTAAAAAAATCAAAAAATAAAACAATTTTTAAAATAAAAAATCATTCAATAATATGTAGATTTGTATCCACAACAATATGTATATAATAATAATAATAATAATAATGGGTAAAGCGGGGGCGAGGCGAAGGCGTGGTGGGGGTAAGCGTTAGTCTATTCCCGTCTTCATCCCCGCACTGGTTTATATGGGTATTTTTGCATATGTCCATCATCCAATACGTATGGTTCATCATCAATCTAAATAAGCGCGAGTTTGAACGATTACTCATTTTTACCTGGTCTACTGCCATCCCTGGTTGTTGGAAAAAAAAAGAAGGTTGGGCAGAGGAAAAAAAATTAAAACTTAAGAAAAACAAAGTCATGGATATTTATTTTTCTTGATTTTTGGCATGCACATGTGCGATAGGTAGTTGCTAATTGACAGTGCAAACCACTCACATGTACATTTATCATTAAAAAATTAACAATCGTTATCTATTGAAGTGCTATGAAATAAAATATATACTTTAAGATGTAATGTAAGAAATTTTATAATTAAGGATACAAAGTAAAATAAAAGTAATAGTTTAAAGGAATAAAATATAATTTACCCATCCATAAATTACAGTATCACATGGATAGATCCTGCAAAGGTATCTGCAACAAATGCTACAAATAGTCAAAATCATTGAGGACGGGGTGGCTCAACAGTGTTATTTGATCACCGAAAAATAGCTTGGGCTTAGGCTCATTTTCAAAGAATGGTCCCAAATTTTTAGATATCATAAATAGTTTATGTAAAAAAATTAAATTCATAATATTTTAAGTCTTACAAAAAAGTTTTACTAAAAAATAAGTCTAATCAAAAAAAATTTAAGGCTTCACTTCAAGGAAGATCCCATAAATTATAGGTATGTAGTAATAGTCCAAACAAAAAATTTAAATTCAAATATGGTACAATTGGATGAATTTGAATTTTAAATTTTATGGTCAAATCTTATGAGCATGATTTAAGGGTAGAATTAAAGGGTAAAAAATCTGAGCGTTTTTAATTAGGAAAAAGAATTAACATTTAATACTATTGAAACATTATATAAAGGGCATTTTAGAGTTTTTAAAATATTATAGACTTAATTACTTATTAATAAGATAAAAAATATACTTATCATCAAATAAGTTTTTTTGACGGACTAAAGTTATTATAAGTCTTTTAAGGAGAACTCAATCCTAATTTTTTATTTCAACTTAAGTAGATTGAGCCTAATAATTTAATCGTGAAATTAAAGTGTCCTAAAATTTATTTTTTTAAATAAAAAAAAAAAACTAACTGTAAAACTAAAGCTACTAAAAAATCTAATTTTAATCCCCCCAAAAAAATCAAGTTTAAACTTACCATCATAATTTTTCAATCATTTTTTCTTTCTCTTACCATTAAGTTCAAATATGGTAACAAATACTTGAATATAAAATTTTAATTAATATTTTTGTATTTAAATAAATTAAAAATTAAATTTATTATTCATATTAAAAATAAAAGACCTAATTTATGGTCCCAAAATGTCTCAAGTCACCCCTGATTGAGAAAAGTATTGTTTCGATTTTTTTTCTTTTCTTCTTGTTTGATTTTTGTAAAATTATTTTTAACAGGAAGCTTCTTAGAAAAGGTCACTTTCGAATTTTGATTCATCCGTATAAAAGTAAATCTCTTGTAATCACCCATAAATTACAAATATCAGTTAAATCTGATAGATACCGATAAAGATCGAATTCCTAATATCTAGGTCTACGATTCATTTAAATTTAATCTCACGCGATTGAATTACTTGTAATAATTTTTTGGGGTTGCCACAACGTTAAAGAGTAAGAAAGAAGCAATCCTTGCTTTCCTCGGAACATAGTAAGGAGTGCTTGGCCTGACCAAAAAATTAAAAAGGAATGCTTGATTTTTATTTTTAGTAATGCTATTGGTATCTATGATTTAATGATGTAATTTCATTTTAATCGTTATATCAATACCAAATTTTAATATTTAATAGAAC